GATTTATCACTTATAAAGTGAGTAGCCCCTTTGGAAAAACCATCCGATTCGGAACCGTATCCCAACCCAACTTACAAATCCAATAGTTTGTGTTGCGTACAAATGTTTATGTTCTCATTTGTACCAATGTTTGCGTGTTTGAATCAATTAAAATAAATTAACATTTATTATATATTTGTTAACTCAATCATGAAATTTTTTTTCAGTTAAGTTGATAATATTGCTGATCGTTGTGGTGGTGGTGGTGTTTGGTTCTCTGAGCTGGATGTTTTGTTTGTGGAGTTTTCATTGTTCTTCTGAACAACAATATCATCAGCACAAACGTCAGATAGAAGTGAAGCATTCGAAGCATTCTCCACGTTTAACCTGTGTAGCTTGTTCTGCTAACCTCGATCTTGATTGGTTGCTGTTAACTTTAAGTCTGTCGTTGTTTGCATCTTTGTTTTGATTGCATCCCCGTTTTGATCTGTTTCTTGATCCTGTGTCACCTATGATTTTCCTGATTGGTTGGTAAATTGAGTCAATGTCGATGTGTTTGTTGATTGCTGACTGATCTGAGTGCCAAGCTTCTAAAAATTCCCTAGTGTTCTTTGGAGGACAAACACCACCAGCACAATCATCCACCTAAGCTACAAATCTTCTCCACGATCTCAATTGCTGATCGTATTCATCTAAGCCTTATCATGAGAGAATGGATGAAATGTGACTAGGCATGAAATCGGAGTGTATCATTTTTGTCTTATTTGAGATTTGTCGGTTGAATGTGTTTATATCTCTGAATGTTATTGTCTCACGTTGCAACTTCAGCTCAGTGTGAAACACATTTGTTTCGAGAAAAATAGCTCACGACTAAGTATCTTTATCGAAGTCATCTGCATATAATTATGTCTCTTCTCCTCTCTCTCTCTTACTCATGTTACTCCTCGTGGAACATGTACTGCCGACATGTATTCTCCTGTCATCTGAATTGGTTACTTCAAGTGGTGTCCGTCAGGGATGTCCACTCTTTCTGTTCTTGTTCAATTTTGTCATAGACTTGCTACAAGATATTACATTGTCTTTGTCTGAATTTTCTGGAGTGGATCCTCTGTCGGAAGATTCACTGTTTGACTAAGAATTTGCCGTTAACATATTTCTACTTGGTAAAGACGCTGATAAAATGTAGTGTCTCCTGCTTACACTAAACAACTATGCAAGCATGCTCGGGATTCAATTCTCCCCCGTCGAAATGCAAAATGTTGCTTCAAGATTGGGTTGCATCGGCAGCGGAACTAGTGATAGGGAGTGACGCAGTTGAGTATGTTGACGCCTTCACTCATCTCGGGAGTCTCATCAATGCTGATGGCTTGGTGTGTGACGAAATCTCAGCATGGATACAGAAAAATAGAAGCTCCACAACCAAATCCGACCGTAGTTGCTACCTTGACGTGTTGGTTGGGCTTGCCTATCGTGATGACCCAACCGAGCTATATTGGCTGAATCATATGTTCCTGAAGGTTCTACCATGCCAGGCAGGTCGATTAGAGAACGATGAGACTAAAAGCAGCTACTCGAGGTCTGAGGGCAAAGTCGTGCTGCTGACTGTGATGGAGGGGTGTGAGAGCAGTAAGGTGTTTCCCTAGGACAACAAGCAGCATCTGCAGCGATACTGTCTTCTCACAAGTAAGGAAGGGTTAGAAAAGGTCGACCCTAAAAGTGTCACAGTTCACCTTACCTCACGGTTTTCCGTCTCCTTGGGTAAGGGTGCCCACTAAGGGCCTTTCAGAGCGGAGCTAATACTCAAAAAACCTTTCATAAGAAGTCCGTGCGTGACCGGCCTCAAGCAGTTGTCCCTTGGGCTCTGCGGTCACGCTCCCAGATCTGTAGGACCGACAGTAATCTACCTTCCTTTTCAGGCCCCTCAAGAAACAACCTTCCACGGTTTGGGCAACCGGGAAGTGACATCTGCCCTCATACCCGTAATAGCACGCGAGACCAAATTAGTCATAATCAAATCTTTCCTACACCCCCTAATACCACAACGAAAACCTCCAGCTCAGAGAACGAAACACCACCACAATAGTTCTCTCAGTTTCCATTTCATACAGTAGGAACTTTTTTGACATTTGTATTGAAATTCTTTGACTTTTTTGTTGACTAATAGTTGTTATATCAAGTTGCTGGTGTTTAACAACTGTACATGTGTATATATGTGTTGGAGACGTTAGATCCTCAGAACTCATTTGGAAAAGATCCTAATTTAGGATTTTTTGTGTTTTCGCGCATCAGCTTCTCAGTTGACCTTGAGATTACATTTCCCACCATGAAAATCCTTGACTTTCATTGGTTAGTGTATTATTTTAGTACGCTATTTTAGTGGCTAAAAATATAGTCAACAATAACAGTGACAGAATATTTCAATAATGATAATATATTGTTTTTGTACACGTGAAATAATATTTAACTTCTCTAATCAAACTGTTTTTTTTATACTGTTATTGCTATTTTCGATAATAATTAGACTGCATTGTATTTTGCTGCTGAAGCTAGTCAATATTGGACTCCAGCAATTATCCGTACACGTGGTTCCAATCCAGTTTATCAACAACAACCATCTCGTCAATATTTATCTTCTGCACCTACTACTCATACCACCACTAGCAGCAGCAGTGTTCGTCCTACAGAGGATAAATCACTACAGAGTGCACTACATTTATTCAGTGGAATGTGTTTATTCATAGCACGTATTCTACGTACATTTTGGCGTTATTCCATGTTTTATGATGCAACTAGTATATGTTCCAAGTATAATGTTCAGTCATTGTCTACTTGTATGAAAAATTCTACTACTACGACTACTGCTAATAATAATAATAATGGAGGTTTAAAATCATGGGTGCGTAATTTAATTTATACACTGTCAACTGTTTCAACATTTGGTAGTGGACAGTCAACATCGCCATCAACTGAACAGATTGTAAGTGATCTATCTATAATACTGTTTTGTTTTGTGTGTGTGTGTGTGTGCGTGAGCGCATGTGCGTGTGTGCTCTATTCCATGTTGATTGATTATGTGAGTAGTGTGAAGTGAACCGCTAATGGGATCATAGGCCGCTGAGCAGCGAGTTGAATTTCTACGGGTTGGCGTCGCTTAACCCCTTACCCTACACTCCTGCTTTATCTGGGCTTGGGACTGACTGGTAACCCTAGAAGGGCTCTAGGTGGAGTTATATATATATATTTATATAGGATGAGTTGTATACTGCTTAGGCATCGAAAGCAAAGCACGAGTTATATTTCAAACCTTGGTCTAATACGCATCACAGTGAAACAACGTCAGCGGACGCAGTTGCATTGTTGCTAGTGTTAGAAATACGTGTATACACCATTTGTGACCTCAGGATTTCAAAGCTCATGTACACTAGTTGTTTGGAGCAGGGATTTTTCTATTTCCTCTCAATAAAATCCCTTTGTATGTAACACTTCGATTTAACCACTGATTGTTCAGATTGTTTCTCGTTACTTTTGTAAAAAAACAATACCATGTGAAAGCAATGAGTTGGACTTTCCTGCTATGGACTATAAATGAGAAATAGGGGCAAGTGGATTCTCTTCACCTTTTCACTCCTTACCAGGGCATTCGTAGGTTTACTGACTAATAATTCCAAAACGTGTGTTTCGATGACGAGTATATAAACCTATTTTTCTTTGTGAATTAGTTTAAACATTCTTGAAACCATGAATCGATCAATGTTAGACCGCCATTAGAAACCTGGAAGCACTGAACGGCCGTTTCGTCCTGGTATGCGACTCCTCAGCAGTGCGCATCCACGACTCCTGCACCCCTCAGGATTCGAACCCACGACCTCCGGTATTGTGCGCAGACGCCCTAACCGTTAGACCACTGAGCCGGTATCTAACGGTGTTAATGTCTAACTTGATCAAATTCACGGAGTTGCTGAGGAGTCCCATACCAGTACGAAACGGCCGTCCAGTGCTTCTAGGTTTCTAATGGTGGTCTAACATTGGTCGATTCATAGTTTCAAAAATGTGTAACTTAACAATCTTCACAACCCCGTAATGCAAATTAGTTTAAAGCCGTATGTCTGACCAAATTTCAAAGATCCCTGTTGTGTGTGTATTACACTGTCACTATTTTCGCATGCATATTTTACCTGCATCCTTTAATCGATGTGAAGTTTGTATCGTCCAATATTTCTTGATAAACGCCAAGTAATATGGTTGATACGAGTATTACGTATGCTCAACTACTGACTACCTTGACGACTGATGCTGTATGGTGTTAAGAGTAGACTGAAAGACAGCTAGGGGGGCTACCAAAGCAAAACGTGGTGCCAATCTATGAAGTCATTGACATTTGAACTGAGCCATGTTAGTAGGTGTAGACTACCACCTTATTGGGATCAGCGAGACATTAGTAACCAGTAGTTAGAGACTTTGAATAAAATAGCTCAAAATCTTTTTTACTGGAACAAGTCAGTCAGTCAGTTACAACGTAGAACTTCGTACGTAAGTACATATCAATTCAAGTTGCCATCATCATTTCTACTTTTCTCTTTCTAAATTTATCTTACTGAATTATACTTGAATAATTTGTTCGAATCCGCTAATACTTCTACTGTCTGTACTACTATGGGATTTGAATTGACAATTGCGTCTCTGTGCTAATGTCTTATGACAACCTCAACTGACGTACTTACATGCGATGTTCTACGTTGTAACTGACTAACTGACATGATTGCACCGGCTTAGACACACTAAAATTTGACGAAGTTGAAGATTTATATCAATAGTGATGACATATATTTTCTAGTTTTAATAAATCTACTTCTTCGTATCAAATAAGAACAATGTTGCTCACTAGTGACTAGCTTCATGAGGAAATCAACTGAGTTCTAGTGCGATATGGCCAGTGGACCTTAACCCTGTCGGATGTAGGCAGTATCAACTGAAGACAAATGGGTAAAGTTGTGTGCAAGAAAAATAGACATTAATACTTTTGTACGCCGGCTCGATGATCGCGCCTAAAACCGTAGATCCTTAATTCGATTCCTGTGAGTAGCGGGAGTCGTGGATGAGCACAGCCACTGATGAGTCGCCATACCAAGAGGAAACGACCATCCAATACTTCCAGATTTCTTATAGTGGTCTAACAATGATTAATTCATAATTTCAATCATATATAACAGTTTAGACGACCAATAGGAAGCAACATTTGAAGTGACATTGATAGTCAGGATAACCAATAAGAAACAACATTGGAGCACGTGACATTGATATCTAGGACGACCATGAAATTAACCAATAAGAATTGACCAATAATTCTCTTAGGATATTAGATGAATATCCTAACATATAAACCTTACATGTATTTGTCGCATTTTATGTGTGTGATTTAACATTTCCTAACTTTTTTTTATTTAAAAAAAAAAACATACAAACAGATTATTTCTCGTTTGGAAACATCTGAAATCACATGGTTACGTAATCAGATTATTTATTTACAACAATTTATTGAACGTCAATTAAATGTTCGTGGTGGTTGGTTTCAATTATTATCATTGGCGTCAGCATCATCAGCAACAGCATCGGCATCAGCAGCATCGCATCATTCTTTTAGTACTACTGTCATCAGTGGTAATATTCATTTAGAGTCTACCCTA